ACAGTAAGAAACCCACCAAAGCGGAAACGTTGGACGAAACCTGCACGCCTCCTTTGGCCTTCAAAGACACACACACAGAACCACACCACACACAAACAGCACACCACTGTACCATCAGCTTACAGCACTTCTGCACAGAAACAGGAATAGTATCAGCACAGCGAAAGGTGTCCAATTGATTACACATCAGCTGTAATAGGCATCGGTGATATTCACCATAGTCACACTGACACCCACAAACACCAAATACACTTATCTCCGAGCTTACAGAAAGGTTTCCTTGTGACACTGTTCTAAGATAAGATAAGATATTCCTTTACTGATCCCCCTCAGGAGAAAAGACTATGTCGTAGGTATTTTGTCGCTGTGAGCAGGGCAGATGTTGATGAGATGGGGCAGAGAACTAAACTAAAAGTTGTTGTTGTGCAGTTAACTGAGTGGATCATAAAAATATGGGTGGAAAATGGTCAATACCCCAAGAGGAAACATCCCTTCCACCACAGAGATTCCTAATTATATGTATGAAGTAATTCATAAACACACATGACCTGTTTAGTTTACACATTGGGGCCTTTCTCTTAAATATGTCTAACTCCTGAAAAACTCCCAAAGAAGGTATCAGCTACCCCAACATCCAACCTAAATGGCAAAACAAACAAACAACAAAACAATAAAGTTCTTGAAAACAATCCTTTTCTAACCCAAATGTGAGTGATGGTGGACAATATCCACAATCTTTGTTCTATGCAAACATACATTATAAAGTTAAACCTTCTACAAGAGGAGTGTTTAACTAATCAGTCTCACAAGAATCCAAAAAAAGATTATAGTTCCTTGTTGCTGCTTTAATCCGAAGCAAATACGAGGCTTCAACAGTCTGAATTAGAAGTTATTTTCCTATTAGTGCAAAATTTCCTCTTTTCATTGACAGTGTTTCCTAACGAGGACTGTGGATTTTAAAGGGACAGACTTGAAAAAAGGTGAACCTGTCCTTTAATGTCAGCTGTCCATGGTGCTGAAGAGGATGATGAGTACATTTAAAGGTAACGTGTCATGCTATATATTAAAAATACATGTCACAAATAAAATTGTGTAAATCAGTGGTGCAATTACTTTCTGTATGTGTGTTAGTTTAGTGTAATTTTCTTCCTCATTTCAACATCATCACTGGTTTTATATCACTTAACAGAGAGCACCAGTGGTCAAGATAAAAGTGTTGACTTGGGACACATAAAGAACATGTCTGTGAAGTGAAAAAAGGAGCAACGTTATATATTTTTTTCTTATTTTCTGGCACGTTCTGCTTTTCCTAAAAGCTTCAGCAGATAATTTGGTTCCCATTTAATCTCGACTCATTCTCCCACCCTGCTGCCCATCAAAGCATCTCTGCATGAATCCCTCCTGCTCTCCTTTACACCCCCCCCCCTTCTGCTCTGTCTCCTTCCCCCTCTTTCTTAACTACACCTTCTGCCACTTTTATCCATCCATTCCTCCATCGCTCCTCCTCCAGCCTCACTCTTCCTCTCAGAGACCAGAGCTGCCCGCAGATCAATACTCATAGAAGTTTCATGAGGACAGACCCTCCACTCCTGTTTCGCAATAAAATGTGAACAGAGGAAGGAGACAGAAGAAAAGAAGAGGGGGAAGCGGCAAAGAGAAAAAGGGAAAGATATTGTTTGTGTTGAAGCTGTAGGTCTAGGATTTCTTATATGCTTGTATTATGCAATGGTGGCGTTTTTCTAGATATCTTTTGGCAGAGTTTAAACAAGAGAGAGAGAAAAAAGGTGGGTAAAGGAGTGGGAAAGGAGAAAAAACAGGGTGAAGCTGGGTGCGTAAGAGAACAGAGTAGAAGAAGAAGAGGAGGAGGAGAGGAGGTGTGGTGAGATCGATTCTCTGGCCAGCCAGCAGTTCAATACCACTGAATTATTGCTTCATTCTTCCCCTTATGAGATGAGATCTCTTTCTCTCTCTAGCTCTTCTCCTCTCTTCTATGTGTTTGTATATATGTGTGTATCTGCATGCGTGTATATGTACATGTGCGATCCACTGGTAGAGTGGATCAATACTTTACAATCTGGTTTTAAAAGTCCACCTTTCTGTCTCTCTTTTTTATACGTGTCTCTCTCTCTTTCTTTTTCCTTTTCTCTCTCCCTCCTTCTATATTTCAATCTCTTTTATTTTCTCTGTCTCGTGTCTGCAAAATGAAGGTTAAATTGCTTGTAAAATGAGACAAAAGTCTAAAATTGTGATGCTTTTTCAGCTTTTCACTAAAAGTTTCTTCTCCACAGCTGAGCTATGGATTTTCTTATGCCGCTGCATATACAATAAATCAGCTCTATACTGTATGTGCGTGCATGTGTTCATGTGTGTATATAACGTGTGTGAGAGCATGTATTGATTGTTACTTTGTACCATTGTGTGTTTATAGGAGTGTGTGATGTTGAGAATGTTAATTTTTCCCACCAGGCCGATGAAGCATACGGCACTGTGTGTATGCGTGTGTATAGTGTGTGTGTGTGTGTGTGGTAGACCATCTGTTTACCAGACTACTCACCATCTTTCCCTCATATCTCTCTGATTTACAATTACTTTCAACTCCTGCCCCTGTTTGAAAGTGTGTGTGTGGTACGTTGTGTAAGACATGACCCTCGCAAAGTGTTGCTTTGTGTGTGTTTACGTTGTGCATTGTTGCAAACTTGCATGTGTGCGTGCTCGTGAGAGTGTTTAATTACTCGGCCCTTTACACCCAGAGGCAACCACAGCTAAAACACTGAAAAGCCACAACAGCCAATCAGCTTTCACCGCCATGACCCTTCACCAGCGACTTCCAGAAAGAAGTCAACCTTGAGGTGGGGTCAGGCAACCGCAGTAACGGATCGCGTTTCCTGGGTCACATGTTGAAGCCATAAGCCAATCGCGAGGTCACGGGGGGTCATCTCCGCCCAATAGGAGCAGCAGTTGGACACCAGACGGACCAATTACCAGCTGGCTAGCCTCAGGGTCAAACCAAAGATGTTTTGACTGAAGAACACTGAAGCAGGCACAGCGTACGTACAAAGAAACTAAGAGGGACATTTAGAGACACTCAACGCAAAAAAGTCTTCCAAACTTCGTCAAGTATATGTAATATACCTATATATAATATCACCAATATTCTCTGTCTGTTTTATTGCTTTTGCAGTTGTTGCTCTCATTTCTTGTGCTAAATGTTTTTTTTTACTGCACTTTACATTGTCGAAAAGGTTCCTACAGGTGACGCTATTTTCTTTGACTAGTCAGTCAAACTTTTAGATTTTCTTTTAAACTATTAAACTTGTCAACTTGAAGTGAAATCTCTCAACAATCTTGTATTCAGGTTTGTTTCAGGTCATGCATGTGCAAGACCTCACTTTAGAAATGGGGAACATATTCTGAGTTAGAATGACTTAATTCAGAGTTTGACACTATTAACACTTGTAGGTTAGTGTTTTATTACTCAATAATACATCACATACAAGTCTTATTAAGGGAGAATGAGTATTTTTGTGGTACTACCACCTTATAAAGTCCATACTAAGCAAAGCATATTGAGATCGTAATTCATATACAACAACTTCTTAACTTACTGTACTTACTATCAATAGGTAGACATTAAGAGGCTCTTAATGGAATAGTAGTTGTAGTACAATATAGTCATTCAAAATAAGGCATCATTAAGTGCTTTATGATGAATAAAGTCAGTATGCTAATAATATGCATGCTAATTGGCTACTACAGTGAATATGTGTACCTTAAAATAAAGTGTTAGCTTAAATATTATTCTATACTTGTGGCTTGTTGCTGTTTGTATATTCATATAAAGCAAATTGAAGAAGAACAAATGACCATAGTTGAAAACACAAAACATCACTTTCTTTTAGCATTTTTCATTCTGAACAGGAAATATTAAAGCTTCCAACAACTTGACAGCAACATTAAAACTGACAATTTATCCATGGTAAGTTTTTTTCATTTCCATTGATCAGGTTTAAATCCTCATCTATATCTTTGGTTAATTGGGTCATTAAATGTCTCGTACCCAAAAGAATTTACACAGCAGCTGTTTTTCTTGTCTGTCTCTCTCTGTGAATGACGTCATCATTATGGTGTGATGGAGCCATGTTGAGAGGATCAATACCAGACATCACATCACCTCCATCCATTTCCACATGTATGTGCGAACAAAATGAGCACATACACACGTACATGGACACACACATACTTTCTTCTTCTTTGCTCTCCTTTTCCTCCTCTACTGAGTTTAGCAGGAAAACGCTCATTCACAGTCAACAATCCGGTCAAAAATCACACACTCATTTTCCAACATCGTGTGTGTTTGTGTGTGTGTGTGTGTGTGTACCGTGTGTGTGAGTGTTAGTAAACTGGGTGTTCTGGATGATTTCACTAATAGTTTCAGTATGGAGGGCTATAAAGAGCAGACTGTTTAATTGTAGCTGGTTTTAACGAGCCTCTGATTATGGCAACATTGTAACGAGTGTGGGTCGTTAATGTTGACTAATCTACAGTCATTAGTTCAACACTGTCTGGCCTGAGAGTGAACTGCAAGTCATAGACGCTATTCATACACACATGCAGAGCCGCGCGCGCACACACACACAGGCAAAGGCCAAGAAACACACATTTATAAAACCCCAAAAAATAAATGTACCCTCTAGAAAACAGAAGAAAAATCAGTTTAACAGTTTAATCAAGAGTGTGTGTTTGTATGTATGTGTGTACAGCTGACCTACCTGTGTATATGAACCGTCCTGGTGTGCCTTTGCAGAACTGCTTGGACTTGTAAGAAAGAGTGACCTCAACGACCCCGGGGATGTGTCTGGGAGGCGTCTGCACCCGGATGGCATGCGGCGTGATCAGCTAGAGAAGGAAGGAAATAGGGTGACCATGAGTCAGTACACAAAAACACATCATACTGTAGAAACATGCAGCATGGCGGACTTCCATGGAAGGCGACCCGAGGCGTATGTAGATAAAAAGGGCTCATTCTAAGGTAACGAAAACACAAAGAATATATATATTCAGGTGATTATACACTAATAAAAACATACCTATAAATTTTTGTCAATAGATTCTCCTCAATGTTACACACTGAACCTTTAAGAGGAGGTACAATGTAGAAATTTGAAATCTTGTATATGTATGTGTTAATTGAAATCCTGTAAATGTTCTGATTTATGTTTTATTTGGGGTTTGAATGTGTCACTGGACGTTTGAGCTACAACAGTGTCTGTTACAGTGTTTGGCATGCCACCAAAATAAAGATCTACAAACTACTTTAAATATAATATAATTTCACAGCATCTATCAGGTGCTCAATTTGTATTGAGCTGAATGTGACAAACACTAACTTTTTAGCATCACATTTTTATGGATGGTTTTCAAAAATACTTTTCACTACTTGGCCTGGGTTTTGTGAAAAATCTGCAGGTAGGAGGGACAGCTGCAGACAAACAGAACTTGGCAAACGCGCAATCACTTTCTACCAACACATTTTTCAAACTGTGTTTTCTCGCTTCGGAATCAATAATCAGGTTGAGTGCAAATGAAACATTTGGTTGGCCAAAATCCATTAGAAGCCAGTCTGAGGAACGCCTAAGAGCTGAGTCAGTTTGAACTGAACTGAACTGAGACTCTGTACACATGTTAGTGTGTGTAAGTGTGGCTCTCAACACTGTAAACAAACCCCTCCGCTCTTAACACACACACACACACACATCCATGCCAGCATGTGTACACACACACACACACACACACACACACAGTGTTGTTGTTGGAAGAGAGCCATGGTCGCTCAGCGCACACGGTGAGTGGAGTCAGAAGACAAATAAACATTCTGTAGAGGAGTTGCACTGGGGAAAAGTACGATAGTGAGCTCTGCATGTGTGTGTGAGTGTATGTTTTTGTGAGCATTAGGCCGATGGCTATCAAAATGTGCTGATTTGATCAGTATTCCAGAGAGAAAGAGACAGAGGGAGTGTGGGTGAGGAAGGTAGAGAGGGGCGGTGGTCGCTTGTTGGTGGGGACTCATTAGAGAGCCAAACCTCATTTAGACAAACATTAACACACACACAAACATTCACATGATCACACACAGTTAAGAGCCCGACCATGAGGAAAAGTATGTTTTCATATTGAATTACTTCCAACGGTCCGAGGGCAAAAACACACCGTTGAGGGGTTGAAACAACATCGGGACAGGATGATGATTGTTGGCAAACTGACCTCGCTCCAAACCAGCATGGTACCGAAGATGACTTGGAGACCATCGAAAAAGTTGTCTCCTATGATGATGACTGTAGCGCCCCCCGTAGTCCACCCCTCGCTGGGGCTGATGGCTTTAATGCAGGGAGCTGCTCCTGGAGGGAGGAGAAGAGGATTATAGTAGCCAAGAGATAGAGGAAAAATCGAGTAAAATAAATATTTAAAGATTATTGGCATTTGGATGCATCTGAATAAACCAGTTGTGCAATAAAACCTACAGTATTGACTATGGTATATGACTTGACAAGTTATGGTTGTAAGAAAACATTTGTTTCCTTTAAAGACCAATCAGTCTGTAAACAGGGAGGGAAATCTGGCTTGAAGCCTTTTCATCCCTGTTGCATCTGCACCTCATATATCTTCATGCAACTCCCTCGGCTCTTGGCCAGGGTCCAGATCCGCACACCACACTTAAAAACACTGACTACACCGCCAGCTCAAACACTGTCCCTTTCAATCTGTGCTTGAGTAGTGAGGTTTTTCTTGTGCAATGAGAGAATAAACAAAGCAAATTTTTAAACACTTAAATGTATATTGACATCCAGGAAAAAAACATTTCCACATTACATTACCTAAATTGAAACATCAGCTCCACTGTAACTTTATTTCCACTGACCATGAGATGCAGTTGAAAGTTGTAAGTTGTTGTAAGTGAACCTTCTAGTTTCCAAATGTCAAGAACAAAAAGGCTAAAGATGAGCACAGATGAGCCGCTCGAGAAACAATTTTTTCTGTTCTACTTTTAAAAGCAATGTGATACTCAAACATGATTTTGACAGTACCTGTACTGTTTATTTACTGTTTGTTTATCCCAAAACTCGACTGATGAGCAGTTCATTTTCTAAACTAATGATATGAAATGGATAGAAACACACACAGAAGGTTCAGTGTGCATCATAATACTTCAAACAGAAAGGATACAGTGAGATTTATGTCACGTCAGTATTGTGTGTAAACTCAAATCCAATCCCATATCGCAACAATAAAAGCTCATCTGTCAAAAACCAACTCTCCTCAGAGTGTGTGTGAGATTATCAGGATTCATCTGAATTACAACAACATCCCTTAGTCTGAGTGTGTTTATGAAAGGGAAGCATAATGATATTAGACTTAGCAACACACACAGATACACACACAAAGCATCACACCATGCGTATTATGTGTGTGTAAAAGTGTGTGTAGTGAGTTGGATTAGCCAGATGGAGGGGCAGGAATCACCTGATAGGATTAAACCATCAACCATCTGGTGGCCATGCTGCTTATGCTCACACAGATTCAGACACACACACACACACACACACACACACACAGACACACACACACACACCGTGTTCTAGGTAAGACGGCGTTCCTTCCACCGGGTCGAGCCTGCGGGCCCGTCGGCCATGTTTGGAGTTGTTGTGGACGAACATGTTG